AGAGAGAGAGAGAGAGAGAGAGAGAGACAGAAACAGAGAGAGTGAGAGAGAAAGAGACAGTTAGGAGGAATGGTACTATATCTAAATATGACGAAAACGTCACTTAATTGGTAATAAAATCAGCACAAGTGACCCTGTTTCGATGGTTCTTCATCTAATAAATGAAATCCTGATAAAAGAGTCCTGTTTTTGGCAGTTGCAGAAGAGTAATTTGATGTTAAAATCGTCGAAGAGGAATGCGCCCGAGCCACACCCAGCGTCTCACGGTACAGCGGTTCCAACCGCGAGCTCCTGGGAGTGGCTCGCCGGAGATAAAGATTGAAATAACCACCCTTCTAGAGGCATGGCATTATTGAAGATGGACAAAAAAATATGAGTCCTGTCCCTGAAATAACCACACTCTCATGACACATATTGTCAGCATCAATAAAAAATTGCCCATGTTTTTAGTTGTTTTTCAAAAACAAAAACATCAAAGGGCATTTTACAATACAGTTTTGTTCTGCTTCAACATTTCCTTCCCAGTTTTTAATTGAAAAATAGCCAGCGGTCAAATCATGGTTCTGATTTCAGCACTGTCTTTTGCTTTGGTTTTCTCAAAAAACTGATGAAATACCAAAATGAGTTAACTCCTATTTAATGCGAATACCTAAAAATAACCCAACTGAATTAGATAAGATACATTTTTATTGTCCAGATCCTGGCGCATTGGTTTGGTGTTTCACCACGTACACACGTACGCACAAACACACATACACATACACACACACAAGCATGCACACACAGGCAGGCTTACAGACACATGAGCAATATGAATGAACAGTAATATAAACGATAATAATCTTAAACAGATACATACTCAGTATTCTGACTGCAAGTAAATGTTATTCTAATGCATGTTCTAAGGTCATATGAAAACTTGTGACAAGATGAAAGCGAAGTGAAAACACCCGTTCGCCACTGAGTAGCACCCAACATAGAAAGATAGAAAAAAGACGACATGACCCACCTGGCCAGAGCCACACCGTCGGGGTGTCCCCCAAACGCTCGGTTGATGTGTTTGTGAATCTCCGACACAATCTCATCCAGTTGGGCCTCCAGTTTCCACGACTCGTTCTTGTGCTCTTGCTCTTTGTAAAACCGCATAATATGCTCCATGTTGCTGGCCTGAGAAAGATAGGAAAAACAAACTGACCGAAAAATTGCTTTGCAAATTATTGATTGAGTGAAGAGAAGCACATCGACTCAACAACTTGCGACCTCAGTGCTTTCTTGTCGTATCTCCATTTTTTTTTTACAGTGAAAATGTGACTTTTTCTTAAGATCACTCTTGGAGATACGACAAGAAAGCACTGATGTCGCGAACTCTTGTTTAGCTCTAGGGAAAGCAAGACAGACAAACAGAAACAACAGAGGAAAAGAAAAGAAGTCGGACTCATCAGTTCCCCCTCCCCCCCTCAAACTACCCATCCTTGTAAATTAAAAACACATAAGATACAATTAAATCGAATAAGACCACTCCCAAATTTTTTTACAAGGCAAGACTTGATTATACTTCATGAGATGACCTGGCTTTAACTCACTGAAGACGTTTTTCGATTAAAAAAAACACGAGATGGGCCCTCATAGTTGTCAGACATTTCCCGTGGAAAACGCAAGATCATCCTTATCGCCAAATAGCATCTACATAAATGCCACTAAAAGCACGGAATCTGGCTTCTTAGACATATGTGTAGCCATTTGTTTCGTTCCACAAAAAATTTCCCAGAAATCGATTGATAATTTTTCTATCTACAGCATTTTTAGCTAGGTGACTGCTAAGACTGCTTGTGTTGTAAATTGCAGTGATTGTCAATATGGCACCTAGCAAGAAACGTAATATTTTTGAAACATTGAACTTAATACCTTTTTAAAAAAATTATGACAAATAATCTAGCAGAGATAATAATAATAATAATAATAATAATAATAATAATAATAATAATAATATATAACATTTATATAGCGCATTTCCAAAAATGTAGCTCAATGCGCTTTACATTGGAATACCCATTTTTCAAAAACCTTTCTTACTACTTCCTTTCTTCTCAAGCAATATACATTAATGCACACACACACCGAAACACACACACACACACACACACACACACACACACACACACACACACAGACTATTTTCACCCAGACATAGGAACAGAACAAATATAATGAAAGATAACGTTAAAAGCTTATGATAGACACTTGTACTCTGGTATGTTTATTGTTCTTGTGTTGTTCTTGATTGTGTCAAAAGGGCATTGCAGTTGGTGAAATGTTCAGATTTTATATAATTTTGAAAAAAAACCCAAAACCTTCAGTCCATGGTGCTTGTGCATAGAAAAATCGTGGGTGGTTGCGGGTGCTCTGGTGTGGTTTGCTTCTTCTTTCCTATCAAACATCTATCGTCCTTATCTCCCCTTCTTCTTTTTTATGTTTGTTACTCTCTTGTAACACCTCTAATCTTCTGGCGCTCACATGACCTTATGCAGTTGCGAGCGCCGTAAAACCTCTACTAAAAAAAAAAAAGAAAAAAAAGAAAGAAAAATCTTTCCGTCTTCAGTGAGTTCAACTGATCTACTAAGAAAGGAAGACTGGAAATAACTTTGCTTTAATCAGACTTTATCTTTGTGTATGGTGAGAGCTTTATTATTATATTCAGCAACGGGGGATTTGTAAAAGACCAAACTTTACTAACTGGGCATTTCATCTGAAAAGCTTCACCTTTACTTCTTCTCAAGGTGCCAAATTTGAAAGACATCAGCGATCATGGTTCACCACTAATTTCTTTGCTCAAATTCTCCAAAATTTTAAAGCAGCATATCATTCTTGCCTTTTGTGTCACCCATCTAACCAGAATCTCTATGTAAACCATTCTCGGTCTCCCTCTGCGTGTTTTGCCCAACTTTTACCTGCAACAACTGGCTGACAGATTTCTGCACTGTGGGAGGATCAGACAAGTCCTTGAGACCTTTGGAGCCGTAGGAGAAACTGAAACGAACACACCAGGAAATAAGATAAGATAAGATACATCTTTATTGTCCAGATCCTGGCACATTGGTTTGGTGTTTCAAAACGACACACATACACACGCACACACACACACACACACACACACACATGCACACACACACACACACACACACACACACACAGTATGTTTGTACTCACAAACAGACTAACAGTCACATGCAAATATAAATGAACAGTAATATATAGAATAATAATGTTCAGCTAGATGCATCCTCAGGGAGGGGATATATCTAACAGACAAGTAATAGTGCAAAGTGTTGGTAAATGATAAACTGACTGAGAGGAGAGGAAAAGGACGGGGGGGGGGGGGTTGTGATAGCAAATATTCTTAACAAAAAAGTAAAAGTGATTAAGATGATTTATGGCATCTGCAAAGACCAATAAGCAGGGTGTCCAGCAATATTTCCTGAAAAAATTTACTACCTGGAAAAAAAATTTACTACCCAGCAAATCAAGCCCCACACCAGCTCGAAAGAGACAATCTAAAAATAGGACGACACTTGTATTTCCTCCCCCCCTACACACACACACACAAGTGACAGCACGGTGACGAGTCCGAGTAATTACTAAATTTTATTTGCACGGCAACACAGCGTTTTTACTGTACAACCTGCATGTCACAAATGTTGCGTTATCAGTCTATTGCCGGCAAATTTCTGGGTGGTAACGAAAGCGAAAGTAGATCTTGATTTTCCAGATCGAGCCTTGGTGTCACATACACTTCCGCCTGCCGCCATAGCCGGCTTTTCGTGTGAAACGTACTCTCGGACAGGGAAAAGGTGAACGAATAGTATATCACAATCGCGACCGGCAAAAACAGAGTCATGTACCGCGGCTAGGGTTCACTGAAAAGTCTTGCTGGCTTCATCACTCAGTAGGCAGGCTAATTTACCAAATGTTTACTACTTTCAAGGCAAATTTACTAACATTTACGACCATTACGACCAGGGTGCCTTTTTTATGACTTTACGACCTTGCTGGACACCCTGAATAAGACAAATTCTGGCACAGAATAACAAGGATGATGACAAAGATGAATTAAGTAGGAGGTTAAATATAAAATGAAAGTTCTAATTTAAAGTCTTACAACATTCCATCCAAGCAAAAGCTCACACCAGTTGGAAACAACTACTTTGGTAACCTCGCTCTGTCCAGTTCCCGATCCCAATGGCCCACACGACATGCAGCAAGATGGCCAGTTAGACGCTCAAACAATATCAATAAAACATATCCGATCCATCAATGCCCATCGCCAAATCCCCATCAAAGCATAGCTGGGTGGACAGAGCAAACTGAGAAAAAGAATCTGTCCTAAAAAATACAACATCCTACCTTACCAAACCCAGGATCGAACCCTCAGTCTTACATACACGAACCCAACCACTTACAGGGATGTAAACAGGTTTTGAGAAAAAAGCTGGAAAATACATGGCACGCTTGCACTGACTGAAATAAGAATACAGTGAGACTAAATTATATTTGTTTCTTTCCCTCTGTCACAACCAATAATCTCTATTTAGTATATATAACATGTATTGTTTATAGTAGACTTTTGTTAAAAGCTGGGGCCCCAAAAGGCAAGTCAACCGGAAAAACCCGGAAGATTTACATCCCTGCACTTAACCGCAACACAAAAACAGCCCACAAGCGTTCAACTTTCAGGGCTACCTGAGATCTTGCACATCTTTGGCGATGTTGAGGCTGATGGTGTCTTCTCTCATGCGATGAGCGGCCGAGAGCGTGTTGCTGGTCAGAGCAGAGACCAGCGTGCCGGCGCAGTGCGGGGACACTCGACTCTCCACCCGCTGGCTCAGATTGGACTTTGCAGTTTCTCTGTCGAGAAAGGGGCGAGTTACAGTTTATGAAAGAAGATTTCAAAATCCGAGTTCAACTCTTCAGTTCATATCTCTCTCCACCAACTGAGTTAGAGATTCAACTTAACAGATTCTCTACAGAGAAAGGCGAGTTGATGTTGATGAAAAAAGATTTTGTAATAAAGCCATTCTATACAGAAAAATGGGAAATGATGTTGATGAAAGAAGATTTGAAAATTGAGTTCAACTCTTCAGTTCATATAACTCTCCAACTAATGAGTTAAATTCAACTTACCAGCTTCTCAACGTAGAAAAATGTGAAATGCTGTTGATGAAAGAAGATTTTAAAATCAAGGTCTACCCTTCAGTTCATATCACTCTACCCACTGAGTTAGATTCAACTTAACAGCTTCTCTACGCAGAAAGGCGAGTTGATGTTGATGAAAAAAGAGTTCATTATCAAGCCAGTTGAACTCTTCATTTCTATACAGAAAAATGCGAAATGATGTTGATGAAAGAAGATTTCAAAATCAAGCAATTTCAACTCTTCACGTCATATCACTAAATCAGCCAAGCAAATGAATTCTTTAATTTATGCCTGGTAACAATGTACGACGGCAGCAACATTTCAGACTGTAATTGTGGGTGGTGGGCTGTTGCTCTGGTGTGGTTTGCTCTTTCTTTCCTATCAAACACCTCTCATCCTTCTTTACCCTCCTTCTCTTTTTGTGTTTGTTACTCTCTTGTAACACCTCTAATCTTCCGCCCTTATATGACCTTATGGTGTTGCGAGTGCGCAAAATACTTACTAAAACTAAAAAGACTAACTGAAACAGAAGCATTTGCTCGATAAAACTGGAACTCGTAGAACTTCACTCAGCGGAGCAGTTCTTGTTTAGTTTGTCTTATGTACTGTTATTTCACGTTGACCTGTTAACCGAGGGTCCTTTGAAGTCAGGCACACCTCCCATTAGACCATATTCTATGTCGTAGGGCAAAATACAAATGTGACGCAGCGTGGTGGAATCAGGCTATCGTCAATTTTTGGGCATGTAGAGTTATTGGTATCATCTTAAAGCTGGTTTACTTGTCTTTATTTGGATGAAAACAATATCCATTTATCTTGAATACAAGTCGAGATATTTGCGAAAGAAGGAGGTGGGGGTCACCTGTTTTCAGATGTAAAATTATTGAGAAAATGGCCGCCAAAGATGAGTTATTTCCTAATCTTAAGAGTTCGTGGTCACTGAAAATTTACATTTTTTGTGCCTTTAATCAACGTTTTCAGAAATATTTACACAGAAATGAGTTCTTTAATGAGTATGAAAGGTGTTGAGCCAAAAAAACACCAAAAAAAACGATAAAAATTCACAAACCTGCGAAAAAATGCAAGTTTCTTCACTTTGATTATTTTGACGAGAGCCTGATTCCACCACGCTGCCTCACAAATGCAAAATAGTAAGGTTAAGAGTTACATTACCCATACTTGACAAAAACACAACTATGAACTCAGTACAGAAAAAAAAAGAACTCCGATATCCCAAATGAAAATACCACATTCTCCATCGTGACTCACAGAGAACTCCTGTCTGGTAACTCTCCATTGAGGGCTTCCATCAGGAACTTGCCGATATCTTCGCACGTGATTCGAACATCTCTCTGTGAACACAGAAATCTAGACTTAGTCAACTTACATAAGAATTTAAGAAAACAAAGCAGAGACGATACATCAAACTAAACATCACAGTAGTGCATGTAAGCAGACATTTTTGCATGTTCTGTTCCTCTCAGTGTATGTGTGCCAGTTGATGAACAGTCTCATGTATTAATATAATACTTCAGGGGGCTCTCGTGGCCTACAGGTTAAAGTGTTGGCCTCTCATTCAAAGGTCCCGGGTTCAAATCCGGGTAGCGACTGAAACATTTTCTTCTCTAAAATTGTCTCCTTTCACCTCCTTTCCTGCTCCCTAGCAATGTTCTGTTGTCTGCTTTCAATTCCACTTTCTGTCCCCCTCCCTCTC